GGTTACTGAACCTAATAAGCTTAGCTGCTACATTCTATCGGCCTTTAATTTAGGTAAATGGTGCGCATTCTACTGTTATTTTTCCGTTCCTCGAAGAAGAGAACGTTCAGAAAAATTCAGAAAAGTTATAAGTTGAAGTTAAATGCGAATTACTAAAGCAAAATCTTGTTGTATTGACTAGAAACGTCTTTACTAGGTATATCCAGGCTAATCTGGTTAAAGTCTCGTAAAGGCAAAATGTCATCCTATTGAAAATAAGGAATTCTTCACAGGCATTTGTATCCATTTTGTACTTTTTGTGAAGGAGAAAAAAAAGGACTCCTCCTAATAGAGTGTTCTTTCCGGGGTGTAGAATACTTTGCCATATATTTACGAAAAAATCTACCCAAGAGGCTGCTGTACAAGAAAATAGAAATGAAATTCAAAAAAGAATTCTGGAGTATAAATCCCATAAAGGCAGCACTATTCGTAAGTCTGCCAAACGAAATGAATTTTGAAATAGGTAGCCAATCTGAGCAAACAAAACCCTGACCTTGCTTTATACATCATTCCTTCTGGTGCACGTGACATATACTGCAACATTAAATCTGTACCCATTAGTGCTTTTATTGTTGTGGAAGACACTGAGTTTTGAAACTGATAGGGTCTAAAAATTCAAATCGGCTAACGGTAAACTTCAGTATTAGTCACACACTTTTTAATTCAGAATTTATATTATTTTATAAGTATTTTGTCACGGTGTAGATTTAGTCTCAAAATTTTAGGAGCGAGATATCAATTAGATCATATCTGTGTTTCTTAGGAATAACAGACTAGAGTTTTGGAGTACCAACAGTAAACCGTGTGAGGGTCATTTTAATTTGTCTATAATGGCTTTTTAAATGTTGGTACTGTTCAGCAACTTGATCTTGGTTAGCCGCAGTTACCGTTCCATTATCAACATCAACGTTTTCAAAACTATTTCAGATTTGATAATATCATAACAGTGCAGATTTGATAGTATTATAACAGTGATGTTAATTGCCAAATTGAACAAGTGGGCTAAAAAATGATTGCTGAGAGGTATCTCTAAAATGCATAAGTTGTTAAATTTGTTGGGAGTGTTTTTAGGTTGACAACTCCATTTTCTTCTTCTGAACATTTGGTACTACTGAAGTAGTTCCTGTTAAAAGGACATCAACTGCAATTTATTTGCAATACCCTTGAAAATTCAGCTGTTTTTAAAATTGTTAAGTCGAAATAGCTTTTATTTTCCTCCTTACTGTTTGCGTATACTATACAAAACTAACTTTGGCCATGACGAATTGTTACTCTTTGCCTTGAACTGTTTGAATAGCCTTCTCGTTTTCTTTTAAACCCTCTGTTTTTGTTGCTCTTTGACATTTTGGTTATTAGCC